TACTAGTAGTAAGGCACTTGTTACTAGAAGCGATGCACTTGTTACTAGTAGCTTATTGTTTCCGATTAACAAGGGTGTCAAGATGATCACTCCTGGTCCAACTGGTTTTGGTGCATGTGTCCAAAAAAGGAATGTCCCAAAGACCACTGTGAGACAGGCAAATGTTGGGGTTCCAGCTGTACAAAAACAGGGTGAAAGGATGGTGAAGGAATTCTATGGAAGTAGACGTGTCCAGCTGGCATCCAGCTTTTTCAAGCAGCCTAGCTCCTCCAACTCCAGTCGCTTCACCTTCATTCCCCCACCTCTGGCTCTACTCGTCTGGGGCTCCTCAGTGAAAAGCAAGGCGCTGCACAAGAACTACTCCCAAGCCAATCAGGCGTTGTCCGTCTTCCTCCACACGAAAAAACAAATGATTTTTTGTTTGGCCGACCTCCCCCTCATAGCGATGGCTGACCTCTCCGTCCGTCTTCCTCCACATCGACTTTAAAGTCGTAGCTCTCCCTTTTATGCAGATGCGACACCTACGACCTATCCGACCTATCCCAGCTCTTTGGCAAGGTCTGCAAACAACGGGTACGACTAAGCCGGCCTTGAGATGCCACAAAAGGTGAAACCGGAAGAGTCTGTCAAGATCTGTCTGTCAAGGGGCACTCCCTTGAAGTGGAGTGCCCCAAGCGCGAGGGTCGAGAAAAACCGAGCCAAGATGGGCACTGGCCGATTGGGCTCTTTCAACGCAAGGCTGTCCGGCGCTCAACCGTGGCTGGTCGCCGTTCGGCTTGGCGAGCTCGGCTTGGGCGAGTCCGGGACACCGCCGGTCTCCACCGCGGTGTCGGGATCGGGCAGCGGCTCGACCGTGGCAGGCCATAGGATTCCAGAGATCCAGCGGCCACAGCGCAGGGTGCGAGCATCGTAGATCTGGGTGATTTCGTGCTGGGAATTCGTTTTGATGAAGAAGAGAGCCCAAATGCTACTGATGGATGCTCCTTTCAGTGCTATCAAAGTTCACCGAGAATCCTCTGAGGTGCTCGCTGAACGGAAAGGTACTGAAGTTGGCCTTCACACCGACACTGCCGATGTCTGTGAACTCCACATAGGCGCCCGACGCGGGGAGAGATGTGTTGGCCGGCTGGTTTTCTCTTCTCTTGACATCCAAGGTGAAGGTGTCCTCGATAGTGGTGGTGTACATATAGTCGTAGCCAAATTTCTTTTGCTTTAGCTCACCCCAGATTTGGGAGGCACCGGGAAGATCGACCGTTTCTGTTGGCCCTCGTTCTGGTCGCAGCTCAAGTTCCCCAAAGGGATTCTCCATGTCCCAGCATAGCCATGTCATGCCTGCCACGACTGTTCCATGCAGAAACTGCGTGAGGTCAGCACATGCACAATCGAGGGAGGAGCTAAAGGAGTAAAAGGGCTCACGAAGCTTGAGGTCGGGAAAAACTGCTCGAGGTGCAGGTTCCGCCAGGCCGCCACGTAGGCAAAGGCACTGGCGCATCGGACTCCACTGTCGCAGCACATGCAGAAACTGGGCAAATTGGACGATGGCACCACTTCGAAATTGATCACGGGATCAACCATCAAACGGTAAGCCTCCAAGGCTCTCGCTCGCTGGAAACGAACAAACCCGGATCACTTCGAAACGAACAAACCCAATTTCTGGCGAACCTCGGAACAGAAGCATTCATCGAGCCACCGGGGATTTCATGGCTCCCCTATTGGACCAACATGAGCAGCAAAGAGCCTGAGCGGCAAGGACCAAGGAGGCAGATGGAGACGGTCACTTGTATACAAGTGAGGCAAGAATTCACCCTGATAACTGTGCCCTTGTGTCTTCTACAGCCCGGTGTGCAAAGGAGGTCTCAAAAAAGATGCCTGCTACTTCCTGCCAAGGTACATCAAAGAGAATATAGGAGCCAAATGCTAACATCAGCAGCGAAGAAACCTGTCCGCACGTCGTAAAGGAGCCACCACCCGTCGTATAGGCTCCAGCATGGCGTGTTTGGCGGAGCCCGAAAGGACGGTCCGCCTTCACGACGGAGCCAAAGATGATCCGTTCGGAGAGCCAGGATCTCAACAGGCCAGGACCAGGTAGTCAAGTAGTCCACCTACTCACCTTACTCACCTTACTCTCTCCCAAGTGCAGTAGCGAATAGCGAAGAGGTGAGACTGAAATCCTGGGCCAGTTGCCGGAAACCCACGAGGATTCCTACATCACTGGGCAAAGATTCTGTTGATTTCGATACAATGTGACCCAAACCCATAATAATGAATTGGGTGTTTCGAAAGATATATAGGAGCGTTTCTACCAAGTGAAGACAGCGACAAGGTCACCAATTTTTTGTGTGATGAGAACATTCCGGTCTCAAATACAGGACAAAAAACTCTGTGCGTGGTCTGACCATGAAGACTCCTGAGAGGATTGAACTCCTGAGATTTCACCGATAATGACCAAGATCGGAGAGCCACGATGCTTCGACAAGTCCCTGCTAGCATTTCTTCAAGGCACACCACATCTTGCTCAGAGATGTTACAAACGCCAATGATACGCACCAAGTCTTCTTGAGGCATGTCTGGCATCCTTCGGAAAATTCGGAATCTCTTGGAATCGTTCATCCAAGGCATCCTAGCTTGAACAAATGACAAATGTGTGGATCACTTGACACTTGCCCATACCGGACTTGATTCGTCTAGCCATTTGGCTCTTTTTTATATCACTCTCTTGCGGACGAGTCAGGCGCCGCAACTGTGGACACAGGGCTCTTTTTTATACCAGCCCATGGTTGAACACCGTGGATCTCTTCCGTGTTGTTTCCTGTCCCGTCCAACGCTTCCTTTTCGTCTCCCGTTCCGGTCATCCGGGGCCACGCACTTGGGCACCGCAGGCTTCCGCGTGCGCGGTGCTTCAAGCGCTGCAGCCGCAGAGGGTGAGAGAGGTATTGCTGCCTCGCAGCACAAGAGCATGAGTTCCTTCAGTGCTACTAGCAAGAAGGTGTTGGTTCTTTGACGTCCTAAGCATGAGGTTCCTTGTGTCATTCAAGGAAGACACGGCATCTCCAAGAGCCCAGCTACAGAAAAGTTTCACCTGCTCATGAATTTTATAAACCAAGGATCATCAAGCAAAGACTCCACTGTGCCACTAACTGAGCCTTGGCTTTTGAAGGTGCTTGCCTCAGAGTATGCACATGGACTTGTCTCCACTCAAACACCGATCAAATGGCAACAATCAAGTCTGAACAACGGGGGACGGTCAAGGGAGGACTGAGCAACAAAGTTGGGTCCGGTCACCTTGAAGTCCAAGTCCAAAGTTGCCAAAGTCAACTTCCAAGAAAGGCGCCTTCCCAAGTTTTAGAGTCTTTAAGAGTGTTTATGTTGTATCTGATTCAAGAGTTAGCTTTCCAGTCATTTGCCATTGCAGCAAAGGTACAATTGATGTTTAATCCACAAGTTCCAAACGTCGCAAAATACGGAACCTGTGACAGGCATGGCAGCCACCTTCAATAACCGCAAATGAGCTCCCCACTTGGCAGGCGCTGCGGCAGCTGGAGGGGTTGGTGGGGCCTTAGTGAGGGGAAGCAGCCGAGCACTTTGCCCGCAATGTGTCGCTTTGTGGGAATTCTCCGGTTTGTCTGCAAATGAAAGCAAAAACACGCGGACATGGGTTGGTTGCCTATGCTCCTAGGTTTACAAGGGTGCTTTGGTAATCGATATCTTTCTGTAGAGTGAAGGGTGAACAATTCCCTCAAAGCGGGCAAACATCTGCCAAGACCTGAAAGTCCTTTAACTTGTTGAAGTCCACTAAATTCACTCAACATCCACTGAAACCTCTCAAACTCCCTCACAACCCATTCCAAGTCCCCTCTCTGCCAGTCACCTGCGACCAGCTCCAACCTGGCCTTCGCCGTCGCCTTTGGCTCTCCTCGAGGTGTCAGCCTCCCGGACCTGCAATGACCAGCTGATTCCTCAACGATCGCTCCATCGAAGCGGGGATTCCCTCCAGACAGAGTCCGTCGGTCTCGTCCAGCGCATCTGGTTCGCCTCTCTGGACTGGCGGCCTTGGGCTCCGGCAGCCGAGCCTGGGCGTGGTTTGATGCCTCTGTGGCCCTTGTGTGACCAATCGCCTTGAACTTCCTTGAAACCTCGAACTTCTTTGTTTCGAGGTAGGAGCAAGAAGCTGCTAGTAACAAGTGCATCGCTACTAGTAACAAGTGCCTTACTAGTAATAACAAGAAGCTGCTAGTAACACGAAGTTGTGATTCTGGTGGATTTTCTTCACTTCCCGGATCCCTTCCTGTCCCGTCCGGCCTTCGGCTTGGGCGACGCGCTCTTGACCCTCGGGTCCGGCGCCCGCGCCGCCGCGCGGGGCGCGCCCGGGCTGCGGGTCACCGCAGGCTCCGGGGTCCTGGCGCTGGAGAGCTGAGTGGGAGAGTTGATGGCCTCCATGGCCTCCAACCTACTAGCGATGGCCGTCTGAAATTGGAATTGGACCAAAACCTACCAACTTCAAGTGGGAGTCTGCGGTTTCTTAGCAGGGTGCAAGCGTTCATGCAGCAATACCGTTCTTTTGGATCCAAAAAGCATCCGATCTCGGAACCTGCGAATCCGATCTCATCAACACATCGGGCCTGCCACGAGGACTTGCCTGGCAAGGAAACACCGTTTTCGACCGTCGACTTGAAATCAACCAACTGTTCAAAACCAACTGTTTTCAACCTATGTTGAACTATGTCGAAGCAGCTCATACTTTTGCCAGCTGGGCACCCTTCAACTCTCGACGCCTGGACAGTCCAGGCCTGGACAGGATATAAACACCGCGCAACAGCTAGCAGCTAGCCCTTGATCGAGGGCTGAGGCCGTGCGGAACGGTAGCGAAAAACAACTCGGGATGCAAAGCCTGTACAGGCCAAAAATCAACACTCTGCATCGACGTGGCGCAAGCGCCACCGAAGCTCGGCGGCCCTCTCAAGCCCCGCCGAAGCTGGGTGGCTCAAAACAAAAAAGGCCTTCCTTCTCCATCTGACGGACTTCTTCAACGTCTGCCTCGATCTGCTCCTTGTGGCCGGCGAGCACCAAAATACCCGCAAAGGTGAAGGCGTCAACTGTCAGTTCAACTTTGGATCCAATCGAAAGGGACGTGTGCAACTCCATGAAGGAGGACAATTTGTGCATCTGCGCGTAGCCAGGCATCCCCGTCACAATCCCTGAGAAGTAGGAGACCAAGAAGATCACCCGACCTGAAGCCTCGAAGGCTCTTGGAACATCAGGCAAGGCGTCAAAGCGTTCACCATCCAGGCAATCCACAGTAGCTTCAGGATGTGAAGTCCCCGTCAGCAAACGTGCCAAATTCACATAACAACCAAGAGCACCCATCATCCGAACATTCATCTCAACAAGGCACGGTCCATCCTTTGTCATGATCACTTCTGCATGGGTTGCCCCATGGCAAAACTTCAAGGCATCCAACGCAGCACGGGTGTACTCAATCAGCCCGGCAGGGCAATCCTCCACCTCTACCGGCCGCATGGCAAAATAGACAAAGTCACAGCCGTTGGCGGGTTGCTTCTCATACACCCAGACCATGACGGTCTTGTGCACTCCGTTTCGAGACACGTGGTCCACAACGTACTCCTGGCCCGACAAGAATTCTTGGCATAGAACTGCGGTATCCGAGGACGTGAGCCTTCGCTTGGTGCATCGCAGGTGTCTGAAGTGTTCCTCCACTTCTCCCATGGAACGGCAAAGCTGCACCCCATCTGTACCACTGGATTGCACCGGTTTCACCACGATGGGGAGGCCAAGATGCTTCAGATTCTCCTTCACATCCTCCCATGCACAACCACAAACCTCTTGAACTGCCCGGCATCCGGCCACCAACAAAGCATTGCGCTGCACATGTTTGTTCCGACGGTCCCCTCCCGGAAACAAACCATTGCATTGAAGCCCCAAGTGCTCCGAGACGAGTTCTGCCAAGTTGACACCTGCCTCGCTGCCAGGGACGCAGCCTCTGATGTGAGCACCTGGATGAATGCTTTCAATGGACTGCTGGATGGCTTTCACCGTCTCTTCTATGGACACCTCTTCTTCCATTGTGGCCCAGTACACCTTCTCCTTCGAGTGGTCAGCGCAGGACGATAACTTGCGAGTGGAAGCAGTACCCTCCTTGCTCCACAGTGCGATGACCAGGAAACCACGAGCCGCCGCCACTTTGGAGAGACAAGCCCCAATAGAAAGGGGGTCCACTACTAGGACCACCGACGGCACAAGTTCACCCGTTTCAGCCATCATCGGTGAAATTAATCGGCACGACTTGGACTGCTAAGAAATGCTGAAGGAGCACTCAAGGCGGCCTTCAGTGCCAAGATCAGCGAGACCGTGCGAGAGTACTATGCACTTTCCAGGGCGAGGCTGAAAGAGGGCCTGGAACCTTTTCGGTCGAAAGAGATACCCGTTTGACTCCAACTTCGACTTCTGGAGATGGTCGCATATTAACAGTATACACTTCAGAAAACAAACATGGAGATAGAAACTACCATGCACTATGCGCACACCAAAAATGTCCTCCACCAAATTACTCTGTTGTTTTGAAAGCAGGTTGCGGAGTCGTCAAAGTCATGGTCATAGTCTATCTCTCGTTGAAAGACTTACCCGGAACAGCCGCCGCCTTCGCTTTGGCCGGTGGACCTGCTGGTGGAGACCTGGGCTGGTCGAGAGAAGTGTCGATGTGAAAATCTGTTCGATTTGGGGGGTGATTTCTGGGTTGATTTGGGGGGTGATGGACATTCTGAGTTGATTCCCATGATTCCTCGTCCAACTTCTGATGTTGTCAGACTGGCGCCCCCCAGCTTCGCAGGCGCCGCCGCGGGCGCCGCGGCGGCTGCGCGGGTGGCCGGCCTTTGGCACGGTCGCATGACCCATCTGACCCCCCAAAACTGACCAAGGCAGGTCTTTTTGGCTCAGGAACCTGCAGGCACTTTTCGACTGCCTACAGTTGTGTACATCCTGCTCAGCAGCGCAGTGGGGCCAAAAAGGGCTCAAAAGGGCTCAAAAGTGTTTTCAGCCAACGTGGATTCACATGCAAAACGGTTTCAATGAATTCACGCATCCAACAGGGACTTCTCGGTTCCATGTCCTGAGGCACCCTAACGAGCTCACCGCTGGGGAAGCCTGTGAACCCGAGCTGGCTGTCGGACCCCAACAACAGGGTGATGGGGTTGAAAACAGAAATCTACAAACGACTAAAATGGATCCGATGCTTGGCAGCTGCTTCGGTTTTGTCAAGTGGAGAGGGTTCTGGACTTGGTGAGCTGGCACTTGCATTCAAGATTGGATTTGCACAGCAGAGTGGTGCCCACTCACTCTCATGCCATAGATCCCGGTAGCTCCGTCTCCTTCCCACACATCGCGGACCTCCTCCTTTCACTCGCGAGGCAAACGAGGCGACGGCGAGGTCGGGTGCAGGGGCAACGGCAATGGTCGGCCCTGCGCCATTCTGCATCCAGCCAGATGTACCCCACCGGCTGCAGGGGGAAGCTATACACAGCTCTGCAGAGAAGCCTTCAGAACACCAAAGGCCAACGCAGCCAGTAGGGAACTCAAGGATCGTGTGTATCACAACATGATAATTATCCCAGGGCAATGTAAACAGACAGAGTCTAGGCTTCTGTGTTGAGCTGTGGCTTGAAAACTTGCAGCAAAGAGACAATCTTTGCGGGCAAATGAATTCATGGTTAGGCCTGGCACGCAAATAAGTCGCTCCAGGCCAAGGAAAACTCCTCTGAGAACAGCTCATCCAAGATTCTTCAAAATGTTAGATTCTATATAAATTAAGGGGAGAAAATATATTTTTATATAGAAGTTTAATATGAATTCTATATTCTTTATAAAGAGGAGCAAACTCTTAAAGCAGCCTACTTGATTTTATCACATGACACGGGTTCTTGGCCGAAACCCGAGGAGTTGGAGCTGTACATTTGCTCGGAGCGAGCGGCTTTTCGGTGTACAAATTGAGCACGTGAGATCTCTCGCTGGGAGACCTCTCGTCCACTGCCTGCGGCAGAATCCAAAATTCGAGGCACGGCCCCCAATCGCAAGGCACAGCGTCTCGTGTTACGAGGCGCTGCGTCTCGTAGCCTTCGCTGAGCCCTCCAAGGGTCTCAGCTAGGTGGTGAACAAGCTGAACATCTCAGAAATCATTCGGTCACCCGAACCTGTGAGCTTACCTTGAAAATCCTCTCCTACTCTGCTGAGGTGCATTTTAACATGTTTGAATATGTGATTTCCAAGAAGTACCTTGTTGCTTCACGACGGAGGTGCATTACACATGTTGGAATACTTAATTGAACATGTGTGTTTCTTCATGGTACTGCAGCACTGCATACCTAAAAATGTGATCAACTGCTGGTTACGCTCCTTGGGAGTTGTCTACTTCTAACTGTCCATATAGGAGCTGATCTTGTTTCAAAAGGATTGTTGGTATATCTTTTCTTTTGATATATCATATATAATCCAACCTCCACCACCTTCAACAATAGGCCTGCATTCGTCGATACTATCTGGCCAGCACATGCTAGTAGCAGTCTGCGCCGGGTGATTTGACTCCTTCTCTTGCTTGACAATTTCGCGGCACCGTTGCATCCGACAGTAGAGGCCATCACTATTAGGTTGGAGGCCATCGCTTTTAGGTGTCCCTTTAAAAAAATAAGAATACGGTAAAATATTTAGAGAAACGTAGCATGAGTGTTTGGTCAATAGTGCCATCTCAAGAGAAGGTCGCCCAGAAGCGAATCCTGAGCCGATTCTTCACATCTGCTCTCCGGGCATCTGGGCAAATCGCGCCTTTAAATAGTCAAAACGTTTGCCCAAGCGCTTGATGTCTCTCCACCAAACCAATGCATTGTCAATGCTTGGCAATCTTTATCTATAAAAATCACTGGAAGAGTTCTTTGTAAAACGATGAGGTGATCGTCTTTGGTTTGCCCCGGATCTTACGTTGATTCTAAGTAGGAAGGGTTCGGCCTCTCCCTTTTTGTGGCATTCTTGGTACAACCTTCTGATTTTGCCATCACTCTTCTGTGAAGTTCTCGGGAAGGTCTATCTCCATACTACATGAGGCCAAAACAATCTAATGCACTCTTCATCACCAAGCAATCTTGCCCAAGCAATGGAATCAGAACCGAAATCGACCCCACTTGGTTGAATATCAAACCATTGGGTGGAGAGGCAGAGCGGGTGTAGGAGCATCAATTCGCTCCAAAGTCACCGTAGTAGGCATTCGAGGCCGTCTGTGCAAAGCTGCTGGGCCTGGTCGAACACTTCCGAGTTCTATAGAACTCGATGCACCAAAAACGACGATTCTCGCAAGAAAACATGTGTTGCTTGACGGTGACGGTTTAAAGTCAAGGAATTTGGGAAAACAAAGGATTCAGAAATGGGAAGGGTGGAGTTCAGGAAAAATGCAAAGAAACTTGACTTTTTGATGCCCATGCAATCCTTAGGACTGGCCCATTCAGCTGAAGCAACAGCAACGCCAACTGATGACGGTGACCCCACCTTGCCGCTTGCACCGCGGGAGGCTTATGCCAGACGTAGCTGAGGAACCTGGGAAGCACGAAACATCCCAGTCTTGTCAACTCCAACAGGGCCTCTATCGCTTCGCACATCGGGCCCAAAGGACTCCACGCTCGCTCTCCCCCCCTCCCTACTTAATTAAGTAGAGACTACCTACTACCTACTTAAGTAAGGAACTGAGGTAGCTAGTACCTTACTTAAGCTACTAGCATGGACGCAGGATGGCGATGGGGGGGAGCTTCCTTGAAGAAGCGCTCGCACTAATGATTTGGTCCCTAGATTTTGTGGGAAACGGAACGCTTGTCTAAGCCTCTGAGCCTTTGTTTCTCGTGGCCACTTTGGGATTCCACGGGTTTGCGAACGGACGAAAAGCCGTTGGGGGTTTTGTGAGGTGTTCTTCTTGTGCCATGTGGTTTGCCCGGTGAAATCCGTGAAAACCATCTCACCGAGGTGCAGTAACCACGCCCAGAGCAAAAGCCATGGCCAGCAACGGGTCGGAGGGCCCTGGCCGTGGCTCGTGCAGCTCGTTGCGAGAAGCAGCTTGACATGTTCAACCGGAATGGAGATGAATGAAATGATGAGAGGATGATGAGATGACACAGCGTGCAGAAGATCCACGTGTTTCTTGCGGAAAAAAAGGTCTGCATAGCTGAGGCCCAAGGTACGCCTTTCAGGCCGTTCATGACTCTCCATGCCTCCCCTTGCAACACCTGTCAGGTGTGCCATCAAGCTTGGACTCTCATCGGAGGTCTCTTCCTCGCGCAGATCAGGCATTTCTCACACAGGTGTGTTTTAACCGTTCGGAATTGGTGTACTCTGGAGAGCTTTACACAAAGACAGGCCAGAGGGTGAGTACGGAGAATGCTTGGTTTTATGTTCTTTGTAGCGTGAGACAATAAAGAAACCTCCTGTTCGGGCCTTTGGGAATGACCAAAACTGGGAATGTGTACCCCCTCCAAAGTCTGGAAAGGTCGCTATTGAGACAAGCCCCTAACCAGAACCAAGTACCTGCTTAGAAAGCGACAACCAAAAAGCAAAAAAGAGACACCAAGTGTGCGTGCTTCCCCACCAAGTTCCAGTCATCCTGTTAGGTTGGAGGCCGTCGCTTGTAGGTTGGAGGCCATCGCTACTAGGGCAGGCCATCGCTATTAGGTTCCTTAAAGTCGTTTGTTACATTTGTTTCTTTATATAAATGTAACAAACGACTTTAAGGAACCTAATAGCGATGGCCTCCCCTAGTAGCCATGCCAAAAGAATCATTCATCCTGTTTCATCCTGTTACCTTTCAACGAATCATCACGAGGCCACCGCATCCGTCTCCGTCCCAGACGTCCTCCGTATCACCTTCCAAGAGCGCACCCATCTCCGTGGCTCGACGTACATCGTCCTGAACATCAAATGACGAGGCCGTCGTCCGATCGTTCCGTTCGGTTCGCGTCCGATCGCTCCGTTCGTTTTTGATGCCATGTTCGCCCCGTTCGTAGCTTCTTTTTTTCCTAGTAGCCGTCAGTACAACTTTGCTGCCAGCCTTCATGAACCTTTGGCCTCCAACCTAACAGCGATGGGCTCCAACCTACTGGCGATGGCCCAACAAAGAGAAAAGCAGCTGCAAAAAGTTCCAGCTTCCACACAAGGCTGCAAGGCTGCTCGAACGTCATTGCGTTTGCGTTTCTCTGAAGGATTCCTTCTATTAAACAATACCATCTTCTATTGGTCTGTCCCAAGGAGTTGCGGCCCTCCTTGGGCAGGTCTTTCTCGTCCTCCCTCCGCCACCTCGGCACCAGAGACCAATGCCCGGCCAGTTGATGCTCCAACTTATTGAGAGCTGTGGGGATTGCCTTCTGAAAATGACCAGAACCAGAAGGACAAGGTCCTGGTTTCATGATCCAATCCACCTCTAGAAGACAAACTCACACACATTTGATCACAGACTTGGCTGCAAAGCCTTTTTAAACTCAAAAAACGGGCCAAAACTCCTCCGGTCGAAAATCGGTTCGACGCCCCAAACGGCCGAAGACCTGCGCCTGCGCCCCGGGCACCCGGACGGTTCCGCCGGACAGGCGATGCCCGGCTCCAGCCAGGAGAGCACCGCCTGGGGGTGGAGCGCCATCGCTACGGTTCGAAACAAGAAGCTACGCGCGTGAGGAACGGAATGAATGTTTCAATTTGAAGGTATGTGTTTCCGGAACTGCATAGAGGCGTGTGTTTTGCTCTTGCAGGGGGGTCGATGAGCTATTTGGGAGTGACCTTGGTTGTCAATTTGAAGCTACATGGGTCTTGGAACACAGGACACAAGGCGTTATCTTTTTGGAGACGTGTTGGCAAATGATTGGTGCTGGAAGATGGTGGGAACAAAGGATGGCTCAACCTTGCAAGAAGGGCATTGCCTAAAGACTGGCATCCAAGCGGGTGGAACACCCTTGGTAGAGGAATAGTAGAGGATGTCCTCAGTTTGTCTAGCAGTGCAAAGACCTTTTGGATTGTAGACCACAGTCTGCTCCAACGACCAAATCCTCCAGAAGAAGAAGAAGAAGTCTCTTCTCCAAGTATGGCCATAAGATGCCATACCTTCTTCTCCCCCTGACATCACCCACAAGTCAGTCATTCACCTCCTGCGAGTCAAGAAGAGTCATGCAATAGTTCCCCCCACTTCCTGCGGGCGAAGCCTAGGCCTATCCTTTTTTCTATGTGTTTTTCCCAAAAGCATCTCCGATGCTTGGGTTCTCGTTTAGTCGCTAGTGCCGGGGGAGAGCGAGGAAAAGCTTACGTTGTCGGGGACGGAAGATGGAGGTGGAGGTGGACGGGGTTGGGAAGGGGAAGAGGGAAGGGAAGGAAGAGGGAGGGGAAGGAAGGGAGGGGAAGGAAGGGAGGGGAAGG